GTAGGAAATCAATACCTAGTATGGCTGTGGGAACATCAGCAATGATGAACGTCCACAGATACCGTCGTCGGTTGCCCAGGTTGACCGCGAGTTGTCGTGTACCGTAGGTAGGAATGGCTGAGCCATTTGCAGCGCGTAGTCGAAGCATTGTAGCTTGTGACTTAATGCTACCTCGTGGTACGACAGAAACTTGGGCACCTGTATCCACTAGGTACCTAGCGTTTGTGCGATAATCGTGCACGTAACATAAACGGCCAACCTGGGGGGCAGGGCCGGCGAGTACGGCCGCTTTTACTCGCCGGCTTTGGAGTTTCCCGCCTTGTATGAGCACGGGGCTCGACAACGGCGGGCACCAGATCCGAAGGATCGATGAAACCAGCACCAACCTGCACTCGCTTCCGAAGCCGCCTTTTGGCGTGGCTTGGAAGATGCCCTCGTTGGGCGAGTGTTGACGGCTTTTCGGGAGCGTGAGCGGACTCGAGGGACGTAGGGTTGGGGTACGTTACAACGGTCTCGAAAACTAAGGCGTGTGTGAATACACCCTTCCCTGTCACCTTGAGCCGAGAAGTGGCTGCCGTCGATATCGACTTTCGGACGCGACGTTGAGGCAACTACGTAGTTGTCTCGATTGCCAGTTCTAGCTAGAATTTTGTCTGCTGTGAGGGCTACCTGTTTCAGTGGTGCGTCCTCGAGCAGGGCCGTAACTGTAGGTTGGATAAATGCTGGTAGAGATTCGAGCCACAGTTCTTTAACAATTTCAGAATCGGCTGCCGTGGGTCCTGCAAGAGATTGCAGGCGCGTGAGGTGGTGGCTCGGTTTAGCATCACCCAGGGGGTGACGTGCTAATAACGTCCTCAATCGTTCCTCCCTCGATGGAAGGAAATATCTGAGAATCGCCTCCTTGAGACGATCGTAAACATTGGGCACATTGGAATTGAGGACAACCTCACGGACAGCTACTAAATGGTCTCCCGGTAAACATTCGAGAGCGTAAGTGTACTTCTGCCGTTGGCTTGTAATATGACGGGTCTCAAATTGAGACTCTATAGCAGCAAACCAAACTTCGGGATCGTGAGGAATAAAAGATACAGGTCGAAAGTGTATAACCTGTACGTCAGAGTCTATTACGTTAATACTATTCTTATCGTTATCCGTCATGTCAAATATATATATTAAAAATTAATATGAAAATATATGACAGACGTGGATAGATAAGCGATAGACTCACCAAAATTGACTTCTTTGGAAGGTTTGGTTGCGATTGCCAAGTGGTCGTAGATGTGGATTCACCAGTTGCAGAAGATTTGACCGAAGGTGAGGCGTGTTCCAATATTTGGGTCACCAAATGTAGCGTGGTGTCGAGTTGAGCTGAACTATGAACACCGCTACCAGACTACTTGCCAATAGACCAATAAAATTCCGATAGGCCAAAATATCAGAAGGCAGATGATTGTAGTAGTCGTATATATTTGTTGGCGATCTCGTGGTATCGAAAGAATACCGAGATCGTGCCAAAGGAGTACAAGCGTGGTTACTGAGCGTAACCGAATTCGTAAAAGTTCAAAGTCAACGGGAGAGTAAGTATAATGGCTGTCATTAGCACAGTTAAACAAACGAGCACAGTAAAACAGTCACTGGTACAATTGGTTATAATAATAATTGTTTTCATCGAACCAATCGCGTTCTGTTGACAAAAGTAGGTCACTACACTGTAACTTGCAGTAGCTTGTTGATTCATATCTAGTCTTTGATTCCTTCTTGAATGAATCACTTGTGAAAAATGATTAAACTCTCAAGGAAAGCTTTCGTGGCAAACAGTGACGTGTTTTTCTTGAATACTCCTCCTTCAGCTCTCAATTTCAAGTCTTATCATTTTTCTATAAAAATTCTAAAATGAATTGTTTCACATCAAGCTTAGAGTAGTTAACATAAGATTTTCTGCTCATCAGCATTCAACTTTGAGTTTGACTATTTTGCTATCAAAAAACCTAAAATGAGTTGTTTTACAACATCGAAGTGTGTTAGTCAACCTCTCAGTGACCTTGGAACAACATTTTTATAGGAACCAGTTTGGTTCATTTGATACCGTTGACGATTGGTAAGTGTTCTATCCGTAGACTGTATTGTACAAGATGGCGTTTATCTATGTGAGATATTCACAGAAGTCTGATGAATAGATTCTCGACACACGTTGACATTTTATCGCAGAGTATGGAATAATTTTTGCTTTGATAAATATGGGACGTCGGTTGAATAGCCACAAATTTATGTGTTGCTAGATGGTGATTTTTTATTTAGGCAGTAATTACTTTGATTCTGAAATATTGTGCAGCACAAAATGTGCTTACAGTCTTGTCTCTATGAAAATGATTCTCGCCATATGTATTGGTAATATTTGCAGCACTTCTGTAGGGAGTATCAAGCAGAGGGTTCAGTCTATGGTGACTGATGCATCTGACGATACATAGACGAAACGTGTTTCGAGATCATATGTCAAAACTAACTAGTCTAACACACATGATTGTTTCGAAAGCGTTTCTCAGATATATCTGAACTTGATACCTAATATTTTAAAACATCACATAACGACAAACCCATCACCGAATACTTCTTTTCAAACGCATGATCTTTATGAAAATACGATTAATTCTATTCACGTTTAATGCTCAGGAATAAGTAAGTTCAGTTAGTTCATATATGTCATACTAATTACCCCCTGTTTACTTGGCTTACTCGTGTATTCCCTTTCATAATACTTTTAATTTTACTGAGTTCACTTTTGGTCTATCTTGAAATGTACTGACTGAAATGCGTCCACGACTACAATATTCTATATTACGTAAACAATGCTTATCAAATTTAAATGACTATATTGATATCATTCGCACTTGGATTGTTGTTCGATGTTAGTTTGTTATCTTGTTCAACTGACACCAGAAAGTTAGTTTCACACATTGTAAATTAGTTGCTCATACGAAAGCACCTGAAATGTCAAACGAATAACAATACAAATCATACTTTCTTCACTAGTTTGTAATTTGTGGGAGGAAGATCGTTAACATGAACAGTTAATATTTATTCCCGTTAATTAACTTACTGAACAGATGTTATATTTCGGTCGTTGGGTACATATTGACTTATTCAATTGAAGTCAATATGCTACTCAATCGAATAAATTTATTCAATTCTCAGAATTGTCAAACGCTCCTTCACAGCCATATCGAGTGCATGACTTATTCACGTAAGTGAAATAAACGAATCGAAAATGCAGTTTATCAATTCAGCACGTACTTAGTGAGAAACCTGGTCACTTATTTATTAGTTTGTAGTGTCTGCTATTATGATTAGCCCATATAGCTTGTACTGGCTTTCGGACATGCCAATTGATTTGCTCTACTTGAGTCATATTTTGATCTTATTAATTATTCGCTTACCAACCATGACTGTTTTTATACGAGTGCATTTGTGTGAACATCTCTTATCCTGTTCACCACATGTTTGTAACTTATTTTTGTGTGACTATTAATATTGATTAACGCTTAACTAAATGGGTTGGCTCACGAGCCTTCCCCACTGCGCGTCATTCCCCTTTGCTATCTTCTCTTCTCTTCGCTTCGGTATTTTGTCTGGATCGAAGATTGTATGAAATATACGCATTCAAAATTCGTTCTCGTCTTTGACTTATTTAGTTCGTTACCGAGTAACGCGATTTAGGTTGAAGATTATATATGAAGATATGCGACATATATATTTCGACAGCAATCCTTCAATAACAACCATTCATACGATCTACTTAGAGTCATATCCCGGGATACTAAAACAGCATAGTCTAATTAGTAGCTCAAATGCATAAAACAGTGTGAATTATCTAGAACTCTTTTCCATTTTATCTGTGTTTGGCTATAACACAACAGCTCGGAATGGAATATCTGATCACAACATACTAGTAGCTACACAGGAGGCTTTCGTTCTTGTTATGAACATTCAGCCAGACATAAGTGCATGATGTCAACGATGTTCACAGTGAAACTGAAATCCAGTACCCATCACTCTATTGACAGCTTTTCATCCACTGAATCATGGAAGAAAGTTAGAGGCTGCAAACCAAAACGTGGCATCAGTGTTTGAAGTCACTAACTTCTGGTCTGAACCATGTCGGTAGATTCAGACTACCTGTTTGGAGTCCGCGTGACTATCGTAACCAATGGTTGGAGACTCTTGGTGACATGGCTCAGAATCGATCACAATGGCGTCGGTGTATACACTCTCTGTCTTCGTTTAAACTAAGAGATTAAAATCGTTTCATATCTTTCTTTCTACGAACTAATTCTTTCCTGTTTTACTATCTTCTTATATTCAATCTTTCTTTTATATATTACCACCATTGACTTAACTACTTATATGAATCCGGTGTTGATCTTGTTGTGCTAATGCGGTATGGCAACGTGGACCGATGCATATATGTGCTTGGTCCTACGTTGCAGATGACTGAATGAATCATGGGATCCACGAGCCTTTTGAATGAGCATTATATTTATCAGTATTTTATGGCTTTCGTATTTTCGTAATGGTTGTTTACTATCGACATACAGGCTCATTGGTCAGATGCAATTTGATACTGTTCTCAGCTACAGGTTGATCAATTTTTGAGTAGTAGTGAAATTCAGCAGATGTGCACTTCTGTGGCAATTAACGACGTGTTCAAGATTAGACGTGAATATTAACACTACAACGTATATTCACGCAGTAGGGAAATACACTTGCCAGGAATTTCATTATACGTCATTAGTAAAAATTTGATAACTTATTATTAGTTCATTTGATCATTAAATAAGATCTATATTTGAACATCTTACATTTTTTCAATTCAATCCAAATAGAAACATAACATAAATCTCTTATTGGTTAATAATCATCAAATCATTGCATATTTAAATTTAACTTTAGAAAATTATTGATGTATGTTTGTTTAATCTGTTTCAGTACAGCTCATTACAAAAATGACCGATCTTACCATTTCAAAATCAGTAACTGAATATGGTTGTACCAAATGCGCAGACAAACTTCATCAGTATATATGTGATCATTCACTACGTCTGTCTGAAGCACAAAAGTGGTTATTACAAGTAATCATCGCAATTATTGTATTCTAAAAATGTATTGTAGGAGAGTAGAAAACATCCACTTTCAACAATGCTTTTCTCCAGTATAGAAATGCAACTTCTATCGAATTTGTGTTATGCGATTAATGCTAGAAAGACACTTGATGTTGGTAAGTATGAGGTCTATGTAGGTTTGTTCATAAGCATATATATCCATTCTACGTACCTCATTGCCTCTTAAACAAATTCTTAGCTTTGATGAAATAAGTCAAATACATGAGTATTACTAGCTCGTCCCTAATTATACATTCAAATGAACTGTATAGGTTAATATAAGTAGAACTGGGATGAACAGAACGTAAATATTATGCTTAACTTTGATTCATAGTTTACGGCATCTTTGTATGAGTCTGCGTTCAACACAAATTTCTGTTTCACCTTTGATAAAATAAGTAAACCACACAAGTGTTACTAGCTCGTCTTCAATTAATCATCTAAATTAACTGTATAGATATGTGTAAGTGGCAACAGAATAAACAGGACGTGTCTATTATGCCCAATTTCGTCTCATGGTTTACGGCAACTTTAAATGAGCCAGCGTTAAATGCATCCATCTGTTATTTAAAGAACATTGTTCATTATCTCTATCGTATTAGGACGATTAAAGAGATTGGATGCTCTGTTTCATCCTTCGTCTTACTCCAGTGAGTATTACATATCAGAGTGGTTGTGATACTCATGCATGCACAAATCATGTGTGGAGAGACAGATATGGAAATAAGGGGAGTTCGAAAACGAGATGCATACAGTCATCCAGTACTGACTGATTATCAGTGTCTATTCGGATAGAGTCGAATGACTGAGAGAATTATCTTGAAACAACTATATTGATATCATTTATCAACAACACATGCTTAGTTGAATTACATACTGGTTTGGATGTGGAAACTGTAACACTGGTTTCATTGCATTTGAGACTCGTCAGATGGATGCACTTGCATGGAGTTATTGGTATTCGCATGGAAACTCGACACCAGTACCTTTTGTTTCAAGCATTGAAAAGTGATCCACTGATGAATTGAGTCCAAATATTCAGAAGCTTGTTCAACGGTTGTGAATTTTAATTTGAAATAGTTTTCATTTAGCCGTTGTTGATGTTGAGTGTTGTAACTGATCAGTCTGGTTTTACATATTCTGAACAGATTGCATCGGTATCGTAAATCAGTCACCCGTTCTAATACAGTTGGATAATGACTGGTAGTGGAATCCGAGATGTGTGCATCGTCCTACATAAGCGTAGTAAATTTCTGGATAGAAATGATTGTTTACGTGAAAGTGTGAGAAATCGAACACTGTATTATTTACAGGAATAAATAATGAGTATTTCGAAACGTGTAACGAAGTGCTGAGTAGTGCATGAACTTGTCTCTGCACAAATGCATACTATTGTGTACTGAATACGAATGTCAAAGTATTTAGATAAACTGAATTTACAATCAATTACTTTGTGTCCATTCAAATACCACACTAGTAGTCCAATCTTGATTATATGAAGTTTCCTTTCAAATCACAGGCTTCTTGACTATGAATATGGTTGATGAAGTGAACACGAACCTTACTAATGATAGTCAATTAAGTGTGAGATTTCTGACGTTCACAATTTTTTGTTTTGCTTGTCTCAGTAATAATTAATTTCACATATACTCGTTGAACGACAATGCTTTCTAAACGAGTTTGGAAGATGTTTGTGTGATAATTTTACTGTTTTTTGATTGTTCAATGGACATCAGTTTAACGAGTAGTCACTATCAATGGATTTGTTTTTATTTATTTTAAAATGAGTATAGGAGTTTATACTGGATATAGTGCATTGTCTATCGCAGAAGTATTGCCATCAGATGGACGTGTAGTAGCCTTGGATAAAACGGATGAATATTTGAAAGACTATTGTTTACCAGCATGGAAGAAGGCAGGTGTAGAATCGAAAATTGACTTCCGACTTGGTCCAGCTCTTCAAACACTACGTACGTTTAACAATGTGGTATGGTATATTGTTATCAAGAAATACAAAACATAGATGAACATTCAGTGTTTTGGCATGTTAAATCCATGAAGATTAGCATTTTATCATCAGGTTGCTGATATGTTATCTGGTGTCAGCAATACTATCTGATTGGTTTTGGAAAAAGATAATATATGAGGAATTCATGCTACATTTCTGTTTAAGATAGTTGAAAATAAGCCCCCAAATGCCCTGGTACGGCAGAGAGTGGAGAGAGTCCGCTCTCCCTCTCGAAATGCTCTCACATGGTCATGCGTATATAGCCCCTGCCAGAGAAGTCCTACTCACTGCCTTCTCGTGGCGGGGGTGTTGTTTACAAAAATGAGAGGACGAAAAGCGAATGTCCGGCGCTTTAACCGGATCCCAAACCAATGGTGCACATGGGCTGGCTCCAGTATCCTGAAGGAACAAATGGCGTATGAACCAATCGTTGGTCACCGGCTACCATGGGATTGCATCTCCTTACGATGCTCCACTGCCTTGTGGATCAGACGTTCAGGTCGAAGGCTCGGGGTGTGGCCCCCTAAGAAAACCACCTACTTCGGTTTGGGCACCCGTGCAGTATCACAGCCCTCACACAAATCAATTGAGATTCGTGTGGCGCATATGTATTTGGTGCCTCCCTGTACCTATACTTATGTCTTAAAATAAATATAAAAAATAAATAAAGTTGAAAATAATGTGAATGGAATCTACAAGTAGTTTTTTGATCAAGAAGTGTTAGTGTAGTGATCGAAATCACTTAAATGCCAAGAGGCTGAACTACAAACCATTTTGATTGATATAGGTTTTGATATTCCTCGGTTCCAATATTGTCTGAGTTAGCCATTTGTATAGACTTTTAACTAATGCTGGCCAATTTGTTGAATCTGTATGTTTATTAGTTCTAAGTGCATTATTGCAATGTTTTGATGATGCTCTCTCCTATAATGCAAATGATTTATGTGAGAAACTATTAGTTTTGCACTAGACAACATTGTCATTTCTCGTTTAAATTGCCTTACATTTCCTTAAATCATTTCAATTTACATGAAAATTTTCGTCTAAATTTAAAGTTATAGATTCACAGTATTTGAAAAATTTTATAATAATGAATGCTGACATGAAATGACTATTTTTAAGTTAATTTTGATTGAGATCATGAATCGATTGATGTTACAACACCACTAGAAATCTGGAAGCAATGGATGACCGTCTTGTCCTCGTACGGGACTGCTCATAAGTGCGCACCCACTATCCCACACGCGGAACTCAAACCCAGGACCTTCAGTTTCGTGTATGAACTCTTAACCCATAGACCACTGAGCCGACATCCAACGGTGTTAATGTCTAAGTTCAACCAATCCACGAAATCACTCGACCATCTTCCATTGCACTGAGGTAGATACCTGTCTCTATCCGCCACGGGTTAGCTCCACTGGTCACGGCTTGTCATTAGAAAACTGAGAATTCTTCCACGAAATTCGTCACTAGTGAGTATATGGTGATCGTCAGTATGTGGAATCCCATACCAGGACGAAACGGCTGTCCAATGCTTCCAGGTTTTCAATAGTGATGTAGCATCAATCAATTCATAGTCCCTACCAAAACTCAACAATCGTTTTAAAGATATACTGGGAAATTTCACGGTTCATTTATCGCCTGTGATTGGTGAATTTTTAGAGATAAGCATACAGTTTTTATGTATGGTATGAGTCAAATGTATCACAGCATGCATCAAAAGAAGATGAATAGACAGGATGAAAATAAATGAATGAATATTTGTGTTGTTTCGCAGTCACAGTTAATTGTTTATCATATTCAGGTGAGACAGGTGATTAGAACAGCTGAGTGTAATTGTTGTTATCTTGATAGTCTAACTTACTTATGCCTGTTACTCCCCATGGAGGAGCATATACCGCCCACCAGTAGTCTTCATCCAACCCTCTCCTGAGCAATCCTTTCCGTTGTCATTCATCCTTTTCATATCCGCTTCTATTTCGCGACGTAATGTGTTCTTTGGCCTTCCTCTTTTCCGCTTCCCTTCAGGATTCCAAGTTTGGTCCTGCTTCGTGATGCAGTTGGATGATTTGCGTAATGTATGCCCTATCCATTTCCATCGTCTTTTCCTAATTTCCTCTTCAGCTGGAAGCTGGTTGGTTCTCTCTCACAAAAGGCTGTTGCTGATAGTATACGACCAATGGATGTTGAGTAATTCACGTAGACATCTATTTATAAATACTTGCACCTTCATGATGGTGGTTGTTGTAGTTCTCCAAGTTTCAGCTCCGTATGATAGAACTGCTTTGACGTTCGTATTGAAGATTCTGACTTTGATATTGGTTGAGCGTTGTTTTGAGTTCCATATGTTCTTTAATTGAAGGAATGCTGTCCTTGCTTTGCCAAACCTCGCCTTTACGTCTGCATCTGATCCTCATTGTTCATCTATGATGCTTCCTAGGTATGTGATGGATTCTACATCTTCCAGAGTTTTGCCATCAAGTGTGATTGGATTGCTGTTCTCGGTGTTGTGTTTGAGGACCTTGGTTTTCCCTTTGTGTATGTTAAGGCCTACTGATGTAGAGACTGCTGCTACACTAGTTGTCTTTATCTGCATTTGTTCGTGTGTATTGGATAGGACGGCTAGGTCATCTGTGAAGTCTAAATCGTCTAGTTGGTTCTGAGCTCTCCATTGTATGCCGTGTTTTCCATCGAGATAACCAGTGATATATTAAATGGAATAATGAGTTCACGTTTACTTAATATTTATCAGTTAGTGGAACTGCTAATTGTAATTCATGTTTTCCATTAATATTATTTGGAGTAGCCCATATGCGCAGAACTATGGCTGTTAGTCTTTATCAGTGGAATTTAAAACCTATTTGCAGGATGTTTGTGTCATTGCAATCAGTTGTTTGATCTAGTTGTATTGAGTTTAATGCTATCACTGATGTGTTTGGGAGCAATTTTATATGATCTGAGGATTTATGAATGTGCTTTAAGCACAGTTTGTGTTCCTTCAACCTCACATTCAGTTGTCATGGTATTTCATCTACATATGTAGCATTACAAGCACCAAATATAAATGTATCTCGACAAGTTAGATGTATGTTCGGAGGTTGGTTTGAACACTACGATGTTGTAAGTAGGTGAATGCTATGTCTATAATGTCCGATATAGGTGTTCTTCTAGTCAATGAAATCGATTTCACTGATGACGTTGAACGAATACATTTATTCGGTTAGTATTCGATAAGAGTTGGATGTATGTAAGTATGTTAACAGTTTGATAACAGGTTTGTCGTAAACTATTTATTGATTTGGTAATTGAACTTTATATATTTTGATTGAACTGTTGTGCCTCCAGAAGATTTAATTGATAATGGAGAGAGTGAAACATTCGACTTTGCCCTGATCGATTTAGATCAACGGAACTACTGTAAATATTACGAATTGTGTTTAAAACTAGTTCGATCTCGTGGAATCATCGCCATTGACAATGTAAGTTTGTTTTATTTACGAGTAAATGTTGATGTATCTCGATATATTTGAAGTCAACATTCATGACGAATTGATCTTTTAATGACTATTAATGAATCTTCTATTTGGAAATATTTCGCGCTTGAAAATGATTCTACGTATTCCACATATTCTATGAAGTGTGAAGTATAATAAATGACTGTTGTTGTATACCCTCTGCTGAATTAAAGGGTTATATTTCAAACTAAATTGCATAAAATAAGATTATCGCATATGTGTATGAATAATTTATCTTAGATCCACTAATCGAAAGTTATCGACAGGAGGGAATTATAAGTTGATCTGTGCTAGTAGTCCTAAGCAAACTTTACTGACTTTTGCATTCGAATGATTACAGATTTACTGTTGATAGTATTGTGACGTAGAATATCGATTATCTTATAGATTCTAACCACACAGTCTGCACCATTCTACGTGACTCTTATCAAACAATCTACTTCTTAATGGGCAGATGAGCTGTCTTCTATTGGTTGATGCTAGATTTCACTCAGCGTAATTCACCATCTCTCCGTTTCAGAGCCATTTTTTAACCCTATTGATTACAATCTCTTCTCTAGGTTCTATGGAGTCTGTGTGTGCTCGACGAGAGTGATAACAGTCCTGCAACTGTCGGCATAAGAGAAATGAATGCATTGATAGCAAGAGACAACTCTGTTCGAGTTTCTCTATTAAGAACTGGAGATGGATTGACAATTGTCGTGAAAAATTGATTTTTGTTATGACTGTTTTCAAAATGGTTACATCGATAGTAACACACATACATTTGATTGATAAGCCGAATTGCTTTGATTGCTATCACACATAAATATTTCCCATTACCATGTTGTCATTTTCAATCATCATTGTATATGTATGTTATTGCAATAAAAATATTTCTATGAAGGGTTTCTGTATAATACGTGCCGTTTCACTCATGTTGTACTTAGCACTAAACATGTCCGAATCTCTCAAGTATGAGGAAGTTTGTAGGATTCTGGGATTCACTTTATAGTCTGTGGAAACTTGATGGAATGTAGTGAAAATCTACAGGTCAGTGGGAAATTGGGGTATTATATTGGTATACGATCCCGTATATGCTTTGCTACGATAAACCAGCATAGGTTTACACAAGTATACATCGAGTAAAGTGGCAAATTCACGTTCCTGATAGCTTACTAGGGTAAGCTAAAAGGTCAATTTGTGAAGCACATACTGAATAAGATGTATTTCATCACATCGTATTATCAATGCAAATGTAGAAATTTAATTGAATCACGTATCTCGTAAATAAATATAAGATAACACTAAAATATCTAATGTTGTTGAGATGATGGTTGGATTTGTAAACATTTAACCGTCATAGTGTTTACCGTAGGTCATGAACTAATGAGCATAGATTCACTGTGTCATTGCTGGAAAATAGATGGGGCAGTTTTGACCTCGAAATGTAAACGGTTTTACTGGAACAAACAACGATGGGTATTGTTAGATAGCAGCTCTCTTGATGCTTCATCTACTTCCACTTGCAAATAAGCATCAGCTAGATCCAGTTTAGCGAAAAACCTTCCCTCATTCAGCATGGTGAATAGGTTTGCAGGAACAGGCAGGGGATAATGATGTTGTTCCAGAGCTGCATTGAGACCTGTTGAAAAGTCAGCACATATACAGATCGTGCCGCTAGCCTTCTTGATAACAACTATAAGTGCTGCCCATGCAGAGTAGAAAACAGAAGTTATAACTCCTTGTAGTTGAAGGCGATACAATTCTTCATCTACTGTTTGCAATGTTGCATAAGGCACATGTCTCTTTGGACAAAAAGCTGGCCTAGCCCCAGTTTTCAATCAAAGTGTTGCTTTCATGGCATAGCACCGACCCAATCCAGGTTGAAAAATAGTTGAAAACTGCGTCATTAAGTTCTTCGTATACGCTTCGAAGTCATGTGGTTGTTGTCGTAGTTGGGGTTGTGATATCAGATTGCACATGGTATTCTACGGGACATCAGCTAAATTTAACTGATCGAACCAATAAATTTTCTCTCACCTAGTGATGAGTTGAGTGGGTGTTCGACCACATCAACTTCAGCACGATCTGAACCACCAAGCTGGACCATCGTAGTGTCACGCTGTAGATTGATTAGGCGTTGATATTCGTTTGCAATATTATTAAGGGTTAGTTTTGGGTCTTGGTCCAATCGACTTAGCAAGAGTGTTCTAATGTCACAGAACTTCTGCGATAGAAGGCTGCAGATGAGAATGAGTTCTTTAAATTGGTCTTTAGTAAGCGACTTCAACCGGAAGCGCTCGCATTCTCGGTTGACGATACCCATGTTTGTGAGAAAATCAGCATCTTCGTTCATAGTGAGCGATAAAGCGCATTGAATAGTGAGGATTTGTCTCCGAATTGTTTGCTCAATGACTGAACAGTGTCCGAGAATGAGCGATCGCGTGGGTTTAGAGGCAGAATCAGGTTGCAATACCTGTCTAGTTCACTAGGACACAACTTTCGAAGCAGCGAGCAGACCTTCCAAGCATCACCCTGGTTAGCAAAGTCAAATTTGGATAAGTCTTCGTACCGTTGAAACCACACATCAAACAAGGCATTGGATTCTGGATTGTAATAAAACTCAGAGATACTGTTAGCGATACCATCCACTGATGGTGCGGTAGTAGTAGGGTTAGAACTGCTTGGTTGAGTATTAGACGTTAGCTTTGTATTTGCTAACATCTGATTAAGTTTCATCTGCTGCTCGAGTAATAATTCAAGTTTAGAAGGATCCATGCTTCCGAAACCACCGTCGCCAAATTTGCTAGGGTTGAAGCTATTACTAGTTCACTTAATCTGCGAACGAGAACGAGATTCAGTGACCAAAGACCAGTAAGCTAGCTATTGATGCATCCCAGTCCAAGCTATCTAGAGGGAGAAGTCCAAGCTTAGAATGAGAAATATATTCTGCAACAACCAAAACGAGCGAGCTAACAGAAACAATTTTAAACGTACATATACAAATATATATAATCGATATGGTCATATAGATTTTCAAAAATTCGTCGATAAGTTAGACAATCGATTGCTATTCAAATAATTAAACATTTAATCGATAAGTTCGTCAACTGACTACCATTCAAATATTTAATCATTTATTCGATAAGTTAATCGATGAGATCAAGTTACAATGTGAGTTTTTGGGGGATCTATCATCCCCAACGTAAATTTATCTAAATACATAAACATTGGTTAAAGGAGGCACCAACTAGATATGCACCACAAAAATCCTTAGACACGTAATAGGGCTGTGATATTGCACGTTTGCCCAAGCCGAAGTAGGCGGAGCCTTTGACCTAAAGGTCTTTTTCACAATGCAGTGGAGCAACGTAGGGAGATGCAGTCCCATGGCGGCCGGTGACCATCGGTTTTTTCATGCTCGATTTGTTCCTTCGGAATACTAGTGATGATGTGCATAATTGATCTGGAATCAGGGATTTTATATCCCCCAGATTATCTCTCCATGTCCACCAACTCGGATAAAACGCTGAAAAAAATTCTATTGGAATTTCTCTCTTAAGAACTGGAGATGGATTGACAATTGTCGTGAAAAATTGATTTTTGTTATGACTGTTTTCAAAATGGTTACATCGATAGTAACACACATACTTTTGATTGATAAACCGAATTGCTTTGATTGCTATCGCACATAAATATATCCCATTACCATGTTGTCATTTTCAATCATCATTGTATATGTATGTTGTTGTAATAAAAATATTTCTATGAAAGGTTTCTGTAAATTACGTACCGTTTCAATCATGTTGTACTTGGCACTAAACATGTCCGAATCTCTCAAATGTGAGGAAGTTTGTAGGATTCTGGGATTCACTTTATAGTCTGTGGAAACTTGATGGGATGTAGTGAAAATCTACAGGTCAGTGGAAAATTGGGGCATATTAGTCTCATTTTCCCACAGTAAATCTCTAAGATTTCCAATATGACTTCTCTGGATTCCATTAAATTTCCCCCAAAGTTGAACGCTTGGTATGTTAACATGGGAAGTATTAAGCTTGCCGTTTTCAAACGTTTGCAGTGCTAGACTGCTCAATACGAACACCTTACACAATAATGATAATTAGATCAATAAATGACGATATTTAACCACGTGGTACACTCGTCCGAACTATCCAGTTAACAATCAAGAAACAGATGAGATGTCAGCAAAATGACCAAATGATCAAAGGTCTCAAAATGGCCCAGACTTCATTGTTCTTGTATTTTCATACGAATCCCATTCCGTTTCCATTCTTTACTCTTCAATCATCTTGTCTGTCTGCTGCCAGACATTCTGTATCTGACTAACGTCATATACTACTTATGTTAATATAAGCAACACACACCACAGTATCAGTCAATGCAAATGATTGTAATCTTGTCACAGGTCAAAATGTTTGAAATTACCACTAACCGAAACGTGAAACCTATCAGAAATAAGAGCATAATAATATGACAGATCTACTTCAGAAGAAATAGAACACATTGATTATTAACTATGTCTTATACGATCTGGTAAATGCTTTGCTACGATAAACCAGCATAGTTTTACACATGTATACATCGAGTAAAGTGGCAAATTCACGTTCCTGATAGCTTACTAGGGTCAACTAAAAGGTCAATGTGTGGAGCACATACTGAACAAGATGCACTTCATCACATCGTATTATCAATGCAAATGTAGAAATTTCATTGAATCACGTATCTCGTAAATAAATATAAGATAACACTAAAATATCTAATGTTGTTGAGATGATAGTTGGATTTGTAGACTTTTAACCTTCATAGTGTTTACCGTAGGTCATGAACTAATGAGCATAGATTCAATGTGACATGATGATTGATTGACTAATGGTCTGTGGTTTCACAGTTTTCTGTTAGTGGATAGTTCTATGTTCTTACACAATCTTTGTAAAATGAGATGATCACAAAGATGAGTGTACAATTTCAGTTGTACTTTTTCATTAGAGATTAAATATTAACTACTTGTTGCTGCTAATGAATTCTGATGTTTACGAGAATAGACAAATCAAAGTTGTCAATCCGTAATATTATGCAGTAGATAACATCAACTGTATTTTAATCATCTGTGATTAGCAAGAATGATAGTTAGGAAATAATTCGTTGAATATTGCTTCACTTTTAAAAATTATGAAGAGGAAGCACAACTCATACAACTGAATACTGAAGACGAAACTGAATTCTGTTGTTCTTATATCGACTTGATGACGACAATGCTATTGATCAAGTCTCATTGAAGATGTCAGTAATCCTCAACAATTAGAAAGTCATGTTTGCGAATATTCACCGATCGACTTAAACGCAAATATCATGTATACAATAAAATCGTTGTAACTTCGCTAAATTCAACGACAGTTTCCAAGGAACCTAATAAACTAAATGGCATGACACAATACAATTGAGTATAAAAACGCAAAACAACTGACTGTGTTCAATGAGAACCATCAGTCTCGGAATATATTTTGTTGTCAAAATACAAGGGAAATCGCGCCACATGACAATCATGAAAGCTGAGCACATCAAAAGACCGAGATAGATTAAGACAACGCTATGTGTCATGTGTAGCAAGATCAATCATCATTTAGTATTAGAGTTAAATATATCACCAATGAAAGCTTCATGGAAATGTTGCGTGTAAGATGATGGTAAAGTGTATTGACCAGTGAAACATATTTGACACACATAAGCATAAATGGATACAATAACACGTGATGAATCCCAGTTATCTGACAAGGAATTTCCACATGGACTATCTTCAAAATCTGAACAGATGAGAGTGGAGCTTAGTATATCAGTGTGACTTAAATGGAAAATCAGGCGAGACTACAAATTC